TTTGGGCTCGCGGAAGGCGAAGCCTCAGGTTGCCAACCGCCTGCATCAAAAGTCGTGAGAACAGTCAATTGAGGCTTTATTCTTTATTTTGACCTTTAAAAAAAAGAAACATGAAGAATGGAGATCGAGGGCGGCCGCGGCGGCCGTGATGGAAGCGAAAAAGGCACCGCCTCAAATTTGAGGGGCCCTCCCCATACTTGCATTAATACATGTTGCATTGCAAATGTAGACCAAGAATCGCCTTGTTGAGATCACCTAGGTACCTCAGGGGTCTACTGTACACCTGCGCCCGACCCAATTGTGCGGATGTCGCACATACGATCCCCTCAAAAAAAGAAACGAACACTCAAAAGACAAGACCACGGCCCTATACATGCAGCTTGCGACTTTGGGCGAGCTAAGTGGAGTTCGGCCGAGTGGCGGAAAGCATTCACCTTGGGGGCGTGATCTGGCGCCTGCCTCAGTCCGTTGCTGATTCCACCCGTGGGCCCTGGAGTCTTCAACCCCTTCGGTCGCCACTCGAAATGCAGCTCAGGAGCATTGCCATGTCACCAGGCTTGCTGTGGCTTGTACAGGCTTCGCGGCTGCGGACTTTCCCACACATGCCTGCAAATGCCTGGACCTTGACAGTCCAAATCTCGTTCCAAGACTTGGGAGTCCTGTTTTAGTAGGATGGTTTCAAACAAAGCCAAACGGACAAAGAATTTAGAAGTTGCAGCTTTGCAGACAACTACTTATTTGCACCGGTCGCAAACTCCTTGCAAGCAGAGGCTGCCGGCTGATGCTGAGTGGGGACCTCTCCTCGCGATCCTTGCAAGGATCGCGAGCGCTGCTCGCTTTCGCTGCCTTGCCCGCGAATGAAACCCCAAGAATGCTTGGACAAACCATCAAGGAAGCTTCTTAGGTTCTCAGAAGGGTTCTCAGAAAGGTTCCCGGAACCCGCCTGGGGTAAAGCTTCCCCCGAGGTCATCGCGTGCATCAACCCCCATGTGAACAATTTCTACAGAGCCTTTGATGAAGGTCATACCCACATTGGATTCTGACCACCATCCTTAGAAAAAAGCAATGGCATGGCCAGCCCTCTCCCAACGGCCCCTACACAGCCCACGTCCTGTGGCCGCTCTGACTAGCTCCTGCGCTCGAGGCGGGAGCAACACCCCAGCACGGCGTGACTCAAACAAAACCCCGTCCTCTCGCCGCGCCCGCCTACACAGGGCACATGAGCCATGGTCACTTGTTCTTTATTGCGGGGGCGTGGGAAAATGATTGAGCCCCCCCCCTTGCCGGGGGGGCTGTGGCAAATTTAGTGAGGCTCCCATGCCCCTTCCAAATGGACCGTAGGCTACCGGTAATTTTGACCAAGCCAGAAATCTGACAGATCCAAACCCAAAGCCTTCAAAGGCCGATTCGCCGGTGTCACCAACAACTGCCAGTTGGAAGCTAAGTGGCCCAGGAAAACTACACCATTAAGGTGGTAGATCAAGAACTTCCCCGCTGCTGGTTCGTGGGAAATCGAGCGAGCGAGCGAGCGAGCGAGTGAGTGAGCGAGTGAGTGAGTGAGTGCGTGAGTGAGTGCGTGCGTGCGTGCGTGCGAGAGAGAGAGAGAGAGAGAGAGAGTCCCCATGTCCCTCCCAAATGAAGGCGTGTTTGACCGAGCCTCGCACCCTTCCATGCTAAAACCAGCCATGAATTGACCCATGTGCAAACATACGATACAGGCAAACAAGCTTAGCAGGCATGTAAAGATTGCCGCCAGCCTCCATAGAAGGATCCCGCTCCGGCCTTGGTGCCCGGGGTTTGAGGCAGGCAACTCACCTACCCTTCCCCGCTGGCGGCTCTGGGTGGAGTTCCGGACCCCAAGCTCTAGTGACCTCCCCTGTCCAGGGCGCTTTCTGTCTAGGCTGTTCCAGGTGGAGGCTTGGCCAATCCTAATCCATAATCCCTATAGGCAGGTAAGGATTAAGGATTGTCCTTGAACAGCCCAGTCTGTCAGGGCCACCAAAACCCAAAGCTTTTGGCTGGCTTGGGCCCGCCAAAGACCGGAAGCTGAGTTGCAAACCGGCTCCGGCCCTCCGGAACGCGCGAGGCGCGTTCCTCGGGATGTGCCCCTGGCGTGGATGCTCACGTCAAACTGTTTGCCTTTGGAAGACAACCGAATCAAAGAAGAGGCAACGCCATGTCGACATGCTTTGGGATCTGTCAATCTAAGTGCCCGCTGGCCAAGCAACTTCTGCATACAGCATGGTCCGAGTGGACTGGATTGCAAGCACTGTGAATGGCTTGCGGCAAGTGGCCGTCAGAAGGAAACGTATCGTGTGCTGCCCGCTTTTATATTTGGGGCGCTGTTATACAAAGTAGTTGTCCTCATTCAGGAGCCTGTAACCGCTTCTCAGCTTCCCCTTAATTGGTGGTTTGGATTGGTGGTTTGGGGATTTGAACCAAATGGGCAAGATAGCGCCTAACGACAACACCACCGGGCTCCAAACCACCAATTAGGCAGAAAGCTGAGCTCTGAGGTTCATCTTCACAGTAAAAATCCAAGGAAAACAAGCGGGCGAAAGACATACCTGACCGAAGCTTTAGCCTCTTACTTTGAAAGGGTGGTTTATCTAAGCCCTTCCCGCTCCACGCTTTACCTGGATTTGCTTACTCCTGTTTTTGAAGTGGTCCAATATAGATTCCGAATCAAAAGCCAAGGCCAAATATAATTATAACAAAGGGAGTACCCCACAAGACCCGCTTTAATCTCACTCTTCACTAACTTCAAGCTTCTCTCTCGCTCTCTCTCTCTCTCTCTGTCTGTCGCCCTGTCCCGGCTAGTTTTAAACTGCGGTTTTTCTGAGAATCTGAGATCTTAGAATCTAACTCTTCTCAACCAAACTTGGAATTGGCAATACTAAATTAAGCACTGGGAATCTGAGAGTTAGTCTTGGCAAATAATGCCTTGGCAACGCTAAATGAAGCATTGCAAGTCCAAGTTCAACCCCGACCCTCGAATTGACCACTAACCACACTGACTGTTGGCACTGTTCAGAGAAAGGCCGGAGGGCTATTAACGCAGACCCAACATGTATTAGATATGTTGCCGTAGGCGCAGGGGCAGTGAGACCAACCATGGCAGCGCAGAGGAGAAACCCTGTGGCAAGTCCACGAATCCATGCAATATCCGTATAGATGCATGCAAATGTACATAGGACCACGTTGGCAAGCCCAAATGCTTGCATCTACGTGCGCTTGCGGGGCGCAAGGCAAGCAGTCACAGTGTGTTCTGGGGCAAGCAGTGGGAAGTAGTGTTGACCCCTGACCCATAAACCCCCCGGTAATTATTTTTGCGGGGGGTGCCTTTCAAGATCCTTTCTTCCGGAGGGACCTCCCAGAGTACTGTCTGGGGGCTTCTTGATCAGGGGTCAACTGGTCTTGGACAAGCGCTGAGCAGCTGGGCCTCTATCGAGTCCCATGCACGGTTCCACCTGCGGCACCTGAGGCAGAGAGAGAGCACCCCCAGGCTGATTTTGGAGCCACGGTGGTCAACAGGTTGAGCGTTTCCAAGGACAAGGTAGCTCAACTGGAAGGCTAGGGCCCCGTTTTCAGGACCCTTTCTTCCCTGTACTGCGGATGGGCCAAATCCTGCACAACCTAAGAAACCCGAAACCCTGGAATGATAATTCCCCTGTAAATACCCACAAACAATGGCTGCAACCATGGTTTCTGCGAGATGGATTTCGCAATCATCCCCTTTGCTAAAAAAGGACTGCCCAAATCTTCGTGGGCGTTTGTCGGCCAGCTCTCAACCGTCGCCCGCCTGGCTCCGAGCCATAGAAAGACCTGAGCTGGAGCCCGTGCCAGGAACCTACTCCCATGCTCAAGGCCGCGGCGACATGTTCCCTCACATCCAGCAGCAAGTTGCTGGAAACCAAAATGGATATGGAACACCCTGCCAGGTAAAGCTTCACTTTGCCTATGCGACCTGGAAACCTCGTCTATGGATGAACTACGCATGCTTTAGACACCCTGTTAATTCAACCGGTTTGTGGCTGATGTGCTTGCAATATTTATCTGGGCGTCCACCGTAAGCCTCAGCGTGCGAAATCCATGTCGCATTCTCCGTCCGTGGGGCCCTGGATGCGGGGCAAACAGCCCAACTTGAGCCGTTCGGTGCGTACATATACAGATGTACAAAACAGAAAGGAACCCGCACGATACAATATACTCGTTTGCTTTAACACGCGCATTTGCATAGCACTGATGCACGAACACACGATATGCAATCATATGTTTGCAGAATAAGCAGTTGCACTCGTGCATTTTGATTCAGCCGTGTAAACAGTTGTCACAATACTTGTGCAATTTGATTTAATTATGTGTGTATGCGTCTTGGTGAGTGCGAAACCTGCCAGCAACGAACCTTCCCCGCCCCCCTCCAAGCAAGGGCACACGTCAAACCCACCCAAACACTCCGCAAGGCTGGAGCCATCTGGCGCGGGCCTTTTTGTCCAAGGTTCGGGCTGCATCAGACAAGGCGTCCAAGGGGCATGCACCGCGTGCATGTGTTAGGTAACACGGCGCTCATGGGTGCGATTGGTTTCAGCTGGCACCGCACCAGTGTCTGACTCACTGACCGGCCGGGCACCGTGAGACGGCAAGTTGGCGAGCCAACGTTGCGGAGGATACTCCAAGTCACCAAACAACTGGATATGGAGGCACTCTGAGAAACAAAGGGACTTACGTCTGTGAGGCGTCATTTGTTCTCGGGCCTGTTCAGCATCTGCCACTTCTTGGGCGACACGAGCCGGCCGCCGGCCGCTGGGAAGATTTTGAGCCCAGAGCCTTCTGGAAGGCTGCACCCCAGGTGGGCAGGTCTCGAACCCGAGAGTCAAGATGCAACCCATGCCCGGGATAAAAAAGGCGGGTGAAACGCCAGCACACGTTGCAACTGCCAATGTCGAAGCCTGATGTCAAAGACTGATAAAAATGTCGAGGCCGTGAGTGAGCGTTTTGAAGTTGCTCTTGGAGCAGTTGCGTGGTCCGCACCCTAGCTGGCTAATCTGTTGCAATCTCGCTATCCGCAGCTATCCCCACCGCCTCTTGAAACAGCCCCCTAAACTTGCACCCAAAACGAAACTCGAGGGGTGGGTTCTGGACATGCGCAGGTCGAAGGACCCCACACCGAATCGAAATCACGCGCGTCACACGGCTTCGTTCGTTTCAGGCCTTTGGCTTCTCCGCCTGCCACAGGAAAGCCAATGGGACATATCACCTGGGCCCAAAGCCATCCAAATGGAAACCTGACTGGTCTGGACGAGCATTTTCCTCTAAACGGAACATTCTGGGCGGTTCCACCTTAGTTAGGGCCCTCTGAACTTCACTCGCACGCACAAATAAGGGGTCGGTAATGGTCGGCTTGTGCTGTTTAGCTGCGCAACGCTGCATTTGACTTTTCATCGGGAAAGGGCAGTGGGAACGCAGCCGATTGCCTACAAGGTGATGTTTAAACCACTCAAAAGGAGATAAGACTTTAACCCAAAAAGGGGACAAGGACCCCCTGTCTGAGAACACTGACTCCCTGCATGGAAATAAAGCCGACCCCATGTTTGAGGTGATCCATGTCATGTCATTCACTTCTTTGGGCACACCCCCCCCCCTAACAGGCCGGACTCTGGACTCCGGGTGACGCCTTTTGGGCAAACCAGGCAGGAATGAGCTTTCGCTGCATCTCTGCGTTCATGAGGGCCTGAGCCACGGCAATGACCGAATGCCCAGCGGCTACGTCCCATCTAGCTTCCCTGAACGGGGATCAAGAAAAAGGAGCATAAAACAAACATCCGGTTTCTCGCGGCTTGGAAAAATCAGCCAATAGTTGGACGGTTCTTAGCTGGGGGATCTCCGGATCCAAACCCTTCCGCGCCAAAGCCATCGGTCAGCTGTGGCCAGGGCCATCTCTTCCTTGGAGAACACAAACAGATGCTCCTCCACAGCAGGAAGGTGACCAAGAACCCTGCGGAAAACCAGCCCTAGGAAGAAACCAGCCCAAAAACAAACGTTACCCCTCTGACCCTTTGGCTAATATATTTTTAAAAAATTGGGTTCCCTGGCAAAGTGTTGCAGTTTATGTGCATATAGATACATAAACCGGCGGAGCCCAGCTATTCTCGAATCAAACTACCCGATCAGAAGGACAGCTCGTGCGGATGGGCAAAAACCATTTCGCACCGTTCAGAAACCCCGGTTTCCAAGTCGATTCCCCAACGTAAATTTCGTAACAAACAGCTTGGTGTCAACCGTTGGCTTCATTCTGTGGTGCAAGCGGACTTCGCAACCATCCACAGCCGAAGTCTGATCCCATTCCAGCCAAACTAACCTAAAAGGGACACCTCTGCACAAACGGGCATGAAATTCGATTGTGGACCCTGGTGGAAGTCACTTGTTCATAGGTTACCTCCGGACCGGCCGCCGGATCCCCGCCGACCGGGGCGTGGCATGGTTTTTTTGGGTTGGGCACCCTGGAACGGGTTCAATTCCTTTTGGTTTCCTTTCAACATGTTGCTTTATTCTTCTTCTTTTTTTTGAAGGGGGGGCGGGGGAATGGGGTGGGTGGGTGAAGTAAAATGCGGATGTTGCCCATGACGGTTCCTCATGTCTGGGCCTGCCAGACATGGTTCGTCTGGCTCTGAGCAATAGTTCGAACTGCGGCTGGTTGACAGAAGATTCCAAACCAAAACCCAACGCACGGTCCGGTAGAGGCTTGGTGGCGCTGATGCGCCTGGCATGGGCGGAGACGGAGGCATCCCGCGCTTGACTTGCAACCGGTGCAGCCCGTTTCGTAGGGAATGAGAAGTGGAATGAACCAGAAGGGGGTCCCCTTAAGGGAAACATAAGGGATGGTTTATAAGGATCTTTCCAACTCGTTCCCTGATGAGAAACAGAAAGTTTGCACAAATCAAAATCCTCTACCCTCCCCCAGGCGATTCCATGGAAGCTCCCGAACGGACCGAAATGGAAGACTTGGTGCCCCACTTACAGGATCGGCTTTCTGGGAGCTTCCATGCTAGTCTGAAGGAGTGTACATCTAGTTTTGGAGTGATTACCTGCCTTTCCCACAAAGCCGGCAGACATCTGCATGGGTATATACCAATTTGAATGAATCCTCCAGGAAGCCTTTGGTGGACCTAACTTTTCACACAAATCTCACTTTGGAGTGCCACAGCCACATTCACCTTTCAAATATCCTTCCACAATATTCGCTCAAATGGCCTGCAATGTCATTCTTGTTCAGGGCGGTACACGCCAATCAATCAATGTCATAGCCACATGTACCTTTATGCGTTCCAATGACAACCAGAAGGCCCGAGTAAGCTAGACATCACCCCCAAAATGATGCCTCACCTGACTTTGGCTCTTCCAAAGGGTGATGGAATAATGCCACCCAAGGATACCATGTGGGTCTTTAAAGAGCTACATCGGGAAGCACACACACACACAAACACGCGCATCTGCATATATATATATATTTATTATTTATTTATGTATCTGTATATGCGTAGAGATAGATACTGTCCGTTTGATGGGGTAACTCAAGGGAACAGTTTCAACCAGCTCAGCCACTCCGATGTTTTAGCCCACCTCTTGCGCGACCAAGACTAGAGAAGGCGGGAGGGTTTGAAATAAGGGCCCGGAAGAACCGTCATGTGGCTGGCCTTTCGGGGGCACGCATCATGATGAGCTAATTGTTTAGATCCCAGTGTCTCGTGCCAGCTTTCAAAGAGGTCGCCAAGGAGAAGGGACAGGATGTTTCTCCCAGCCCCCCATACGAGCCTGTCTTTTGGAGGGTACCACTTGTTGGTGGCTAAAAGGGGGAACCAGAGGGAAAATTCCACCACTCGTTGGGGGCGTTCCTCTAAAACACCAGCGAGCCACCCATATGGCTCCGAACCACGCTGCGGGCTCAGCGGGAAACGCTGCGCCGGGTGGGCGTGTTGGGCTCCCGCAAGTCATCGAAGAGCGCCTCGTGGCGTGGCTGTGTCTCATCCCCCGGGCTGCGGTGGTCCAAACCGTTTTGGGATCCCATTTTGGGGGGAATTCACCACCCATTTTAGAACCTATTTGAGTGGTTGCATTGAATCGGACGTTCACTGGGGGTACGATTTGGATTTTGAGCCATGGCCATGTGTCGCTTGCTTGTGTTTTTCTGTAGGGATCTAACGGTTCAGCTGTTCACGAGCCGGCTCTCGGCCTAAGGAATCCGACCTCGGCATCCCTTCACTGACTTGCTTGGGTTGCACCACAGCCACGCGGAGAGCTGCCCCAGATTCCCTTTGAAAGGCTGCAGGGCTTTGGGCCCCCGGCATGCATGCAGCACTGAAGGCCGGTGGGCCGCAGCTTGGGGTCGTAGACCAGCAGCTTCGAGATGTAATCCACCGCCTCGCGGGCGGAGCGGTGTAAAACTCGGCCAGACAGAAAATGCATGTGACAAAAATTTGCTCTGGGCTCTGCGTCATATTGAGTCTATCCTCAAATTTGAAATTGGAGGAGACCCCCCAATGGGGCAGGTGGTTTTGCTCCTGCCCAAGGGGCGCCATACGGGGCCTGGGCGAGCGGAAAAAGCAGGCCCAACGCGCGGCTTCGTTCGATGCGAACAGTGGCTCCTCCTGAGAAGTGCGGGACCTGAAGACCTTGTGCCATGGGTGCGGCTTGATCTGCGGGAACTTGAACCTGGGCGGGCGGCTCGCTCCCCGAAATCGGGCTCCAGAGATATCTGGATTTGCAAATGGCGGGGGCGGGGGGGGGTTCTAGACAACACGGCGCCAATATGCCCTTGGAGCAGCAGTCTCCAGATGTCTCCAGATTCCAAAACGTTCCAACGGCCTGCGGCTCAGGCGGTGAGCTCTCGAGAGGAAACATCAGGTGCTGCTCAGGCGGAAGAACCCCCCCCCTTGGAGAAAACGCCTTCAATCGGCTGGAGGCTTCGCAGCCTGGGGCTTGCCGCTGCTCTTGGCTTGCCGCCCCTATCTTTTTCCCCTGCCAGGGGCCTTCCGAAGGCCTGACTTCGGAACATACATGCACCATCCACGCGCATTCATCCCCTTTTTTTGGGCTGGTTTGAAAGGGAAAACACAAGAAAGGAAAACCACCATTTTGAAAAAGCAGGCACACCCGGATCTCCGCAGTGATGCTCAAGATTGAGCAAACCCTGCATTCCAGAACCCCCGCCTTTGCACCTGAACCCCCCACCCCCCCACCCCCCCACCCCTCCTCAGCCCCCGCTTTTTGGCGGTTCCCCCTTGGCACCCCGGCTCGGTGTAGTTCGGGTTCATGGCCATCAGCTCCTCCCGCGTAGGGGTTCCCAAGACCTTGATGATCTCCACCTGAGCTCAGATACCCAGTGCACTTCCAGGGGACAAAAAAAAGGCCATCCTTGGTTGGTTGGTTGGTTGGTTGAGTTTACAGGGGAACCCTTCCCCCCCCCCAAAAAAAAAAGAGAGGAAAAAAGGGCGGCACAAGCTCCACCTTGGGCGCAAGTCTAGGGGTGACTTCCATGTCCATTCTCTTTTTTGCCGTTCTAGGGGGCACTTCCATGTCCATTCTTTCCCGGATCCGAGTCTTTCTGGAAAACCAGCGAAGACCCCGGAAACAATGGCGATCGGTGTTTGAAAAGAACGATGGCTGAAAAGAATGGGGAATCAACCCCCAGAACAAGCAGAAACAGAAAATCATCGGCTCACAAAAGGCGAAAAGAGATCAAGACTTGCTGCGATAGGTGGGGATTGAGGAATGAATCTGGGGATTCCCTTAAAGGAAAAGATAGGGGATGGTTTGTAGGGGTGATTCCCTCATTGCCTGCTGAGCACCGGCAAGAAGAAGTTGGGCCACCAGCTTCAACCCACACCAAGTAAATTCACCAAATGCACTACTCCGGAATTGCTTCCCACACGGCGTGGGCGCCAACCCGCTTTCTAAAAAACTGCTCTCAGAACCCTTCTCTGAACTCTTTCTGAAAAAAGACTCTAAGCCCCGGATGATGAAACCAACTATCAGCAAAGTGATCTCCCAAAAATAAAAACGATAAAAACTATGTGTTTCACTAGGGTCAGTCTATGGTTGTCACGTTTTCATGACTCTAAGAAGCCCCCTGCGCCCCCGAGGCCGCAGCCAGCTGATCCACGCCGCTCTCGCCCGGGAACATGGGATGGCCCAGGATGAGCTCGGCCGAGACGCAAGCGGCAGACCAAATGTCGATGACCTGGGCATGGCCCAGAGTGTGGATGGACGAAATCCTGCACCACCTCAGAGAGACCCTGGAAGGATGATTCCCGTGTAAAGACCAACATTTCGCATGGTTGCCAAGTGGTGGAGGATTTCATCCATCCACAGGATGGTCGGCTTCCTTTGTAATTTCCACAAGGCGGACAACTTAATTGATTGCTTTCCCTGCTCGAAATTGGAAAAATTGACATGGGCCGCTAAATGCTTGGGTTCGGGGGTATAGTTGCGGACCCTCTGCCATCACTGACAATGATGCTGGGGGTGGCTTCCCCCGCACAAGTGGGGCCTCTGTTTGGCCAACCAAGGGGGAAAGACCGACGTGGCCGACGTGAAACTCACAAGGATTCCACCCGAAACATTGCCAAGCTTCGTGGCCAAGAACATGTCCTGATGCAAAAGGTCAAATGAAATGGTGAGGGTCGTTTTTGGATGTGCCACCGCCCCCCCCTTCCCCCCCCTCTTCAGTTCTTAGCTCGGAACGAACCCGTAGTCAGTGGCGCCAAAGATCAACTCCGGAGCACGGTAGTATCGCGAACCTCAGCCGACACGGAGTAGGAGGTTTCTGCTGGCCACAGAGTCACGCCCCATAAGGTTACCCGAAAAAATACCCCGGCCCAGACCACAACGCCTTGCTTGAAACAATGCCATCATTCCCGGGCGGACAGAGGAAAAAAACAACAAAAACAAGGCAATGCAACCCTATCTGGCGCGCAAACTGCGAGGTCCGGACAAATGTAGGCCACATTCGGCTCCCCCTTGACCAGTGGCTTGGCCGACCCAAAGTCACAAAGCCTGGCGGCCGTGCTCGACTTGGCCAAATGGAGTCAGCCCCAGAGAGGCTGATACTGGCATCCCCCCAAGAATGCAATACAGGACTGTGGGAAATGCCTACTTCTGTGATACAAGAAAGGGCTTCCCAAAATATAAGGGGGGAGATTGCCTTGTATCACAGAAGTGGGGAAAAACCCCTGATCCCACAACCCTGATGCAATACATACCGGAAAAATGCGCAGAATCAGTGGACAAAGTATCCAGTGGCATTCAACCGTCCCAACCAAAAGTGTGACTTTTGTTGAATCCCTCATATGCAAATGTGAGCAATTGGAGCTGCCACTCATTCAGCGAGCCTCCCCAACATGGGTGGCTCATGATGACCCATGGTTGGTTCACCTGCTTGCCCTTCAGAAACAAACGACAAAGGGCTGCCACAAGTTCATGAAGCCACCCAAGTAAATATACTCCATCCTCCCTTCCAAGCAAAATAAAAAATGAACAAATAAATAAACAAAATAACTAAATGTCTGGATAATTAGACAAATACATGAATAAACACATCCACCAACCTGTGTCCCTTCGAACTTAACCAGTTCCCGACATTCGCTCGCTCGCGTCCCCGCGCTTCAGCGCATGCGTGTGCCCGTCCACCAGCAGGTTCTGCGGCTTAATGTCACGGTGGCAGATCCTCCGCTCGCTTGCGGCTCCGGCACCCTCGCCAGTCCGCCACCGCCGGGGCTGGTTTGGTTGCTGGGAGAGGCCAAAGGAATCGCTTGGCATCCATTGAGGTCCTCACGAAAAATGCTTTATGCTCGTGGGACTATAGGCTGAAGTCCTCAAGAATAATGCTTTATGCTCATGGGGCTATAGAATGAATCTTGAGGATGGACACATTCGGAGAACATTTGATTGGGGACCTGAAGTCAGAAAAGCGGGAAACTTGCCCGAGAAAGTCCGAAGCGTGGTTTTGCATACTGGTTCCAGGCCCCCCATGCATGAGCTTCAGCCTTTGACTTGGGAGGGCACGGAGGGAGAGCTTCTCAGGTCGCAAGTCCAAACACTGGCATTTTGAGGGTGGCTTGGCTGCTCCTTGGTCCTTGGTTTCACCTTCAAGCATGCTGTGGGCAGTTTTCCAACCGGACAGAAGAATCGCTAGCATGTAAAGCAGGCTGACATCACTGACCATGGAATGTTTGTTGGCATTTACCAGGGGATGGAACCATTCTGTTGGGTTTCTGAACGGTGGTGCGAAATGGATTTCGTCCATCCGCTGTAGGGAACCTTTTTTGGATACCTCCAAATGTGAACCTGACCTCTCGAATCTGAGCACGCAGCCCAACCGCGTGGATGTACGCACAGGCCCGGCCCATCTGGCAGCTACCACGGGGCCAACGGGAACTCCATGGATGCAGCAGATTCAGCCAAACGAAAACGGGCGGAATGGTCGACCCACTTTTCAGGTTACCAGCTTCGGCTTGTGTTTCATGGAGATTGCCGTTCATTCCTTGGGCAGGCTCGTCAACCCGCAACTTTTGGCCAGAGAAAAATCGCGCCCCACGGCCTGGTAGGAGTAGAGTTGCACGAAGATGTGGGGCACAGGCTGCTTCATCTTGCTGTAGTGCTTCATGACGCGGTATACCGTGTCCTGCTCTCCCCGAGCTGCCACCAAACCCGGGGTGGAGAGAAGAGGGCAGCCGCAAGCTAAGAGCCCCACGGAGCAAAATTCCATGACAACCTAGGCCACTCGAAATCAGTCAAGTTGTTTTTTGTTCGATTGGCGGCAATTGGCGATTCTGAGGGCGCTACATTCAAATAGGTCTCGCCCGGCTTCTCCCCTGATGTATAGAAGGCATGCTTCAACCTCAGTCAAAGGCTCAAGGAACCATACACGGGATCGGCACATAAGCATGGGATCGCCACCAAATCCTGAGTCCCTGAGGGGCCGGCTCAACCACGTTCGGGTGCCGCAGCTCCTCGCAAAATGCAGCGAACGCGCCGCGTAAAACATGTTTGCAACTCAGGATTCAGTAGAAAAACTTGGGAAGGAGGGGTCCCCTTGATGTTGACCCAGGATTAATAAACCCGTCCCATTATTAGGGGGGGTGTTCCCTCCAAAAGTGATGAATCCCCACTAAAAGGGGACACCCCCGTGTTAATCAACCAGGGGATTATTTATCCGGGGTTAACAAGAAAGGAAACCACAAGGGGATGGTTTTATAAGGGTCAGTCCAACTCATTCCCTGCTCAGCACCAGCAAGAAAAAAGCATGGCTTTCTTTTGCGGGCAACACACTTTAGAACCCGCCATGATAGAAACCCACGCCGAAAGTCGAAACCCGGACAAAAAAAGAAGAAGAACAAAACACGGGTGTTTTGGCAAGCAACCAGTCAAGCAGAAATGCTTGAGCCCCTTGCAAGCAGAGTGTCCGCTACAAATGGTGTTTGGTTCAGCGACCTTCATTGTCATGTCTGCCGCCTCTGTTGTTCGTCACTATGAAGGGCCGGCGATTGCTTTGGTCTACTTAGTCTACTTGTCTGCTTGTCTTGTTTTCATGCAATTCCCATAGTGGCTGTTAGATGTATCCGTGATAGGCTTCATGTCTTGGCTGCAACTCCAGTGGCTTCGATTCACATCATTGTGTACTTGTGTGCATGCTGGGCCTGGGAGGGCCTCGTTCCTGTCCCTCATGTGTTCACTTGAGTCATAGTCAACACCCGGTATCAAAATGGTCGACCCAGAACCATGTAAACAATTAAGAAGGCGGCCGCAGCTATTTATGGCTCAGATTGTCCCTTACTAATATTCATCTACCCGGGTTTTGGTTGTGACCCACTTGGGATTTCGCACACCGCCGAAGGCGTGACGTGCAAACCATGGCTTTGCCAGGCCGTCGGTTTGTCGATGCGTTAGCCCAGCCTTCATGATCTGCAGCTCTCTATTCTTGTAACGCTTGTCCTCGCAACACGCACGCAAGCAAGCGAGCGAACGAACGAACCAACCAACCAACAAACAAACAATAAAAAAAGCAAACAAAGAAACAAAGAAGCGGACAAACAGACAAACAGACAGACAGACAAATAAACACACAGACAGACAGACAAACATGCAAGAAATCAGCTTCCAAAAGGCACATTTCTGGCAACGACCCCCGCGCCTGAAAGACCTTCTTGATTGCTACCGACTCACCTGTCTCAACTACCTGCCAGGCGTGCTCTCGCTCTCCTTCGCTCTTCCGTGAGACAGGCGACACAACTCCCTGGGGTAAACATGACGCCCATGGAATCATGTGGCCCATGCGCGGCTCTCCATGCACTTGCCGGGCCGGGCCTGAGCTTGGTAGACAACCCCGAATGAACCGCTGCCCAGCACCCGCTCTGCGTTGTAGGTGAACGACGTCTGGCCGCGTGGCCAGTGACGCAGTGCAGACAACCGCGCATGCTCCAGCGCCACACGAGCACAGGCCCGATTTCTAAGGACTCGCTTGCCCAAAACACCCCCCAAAACACTAAGGTGATCACCTTTTAGGGCCAATAAGAATGGAAACCAAACACCGAGAACAAGGTGATCACCTTTTAGGGCCAATAAAAAACTGGAAACCAAACAGGGGACGCCCCCCTCCCCCAAAAAAAAGAAGGAAGAAAAGAAGTCACCCTGCGGGGCCCATACAAATGGACACCAAACCGGGAAACCCCCCCCAAAAAAAAAGAAGGAAGAAGTGTCAAGTTTTTCAGGTCGACATCTCGCTGTCGAAATTCGCTGGGAGGCCTTCTTGGAGGCATCGTCGCCCTTGCCTGCCAGTGCGGGGGGTCCGGGGGTGCTGGCCAAAGGAATCGCCGCAAGGCGCGGCTGCTTTCTGCTCCCCTGCTAAAAGCTTAACTCTTATTGTTTTAATTGGAAAACCCATTAGTTGGCAAAAAGTTAAAGTCCTAACATCCAACATGCACCAAAGGAGGGGTACCCTGGATACTCCTTGTGCCAAGGAGATTGGTGTTGACAAAGGAGAATGGTCCAAACCAGGACCCCCTTTTACGCCGAACGGTTAGAGGGATCCTCGTTTGGATCATTCTCCTTTTAAAGGGACTGTCAGGTTCCATGTTCATTGGTGGGAGGGTAGGGTTCCACAGTTTGAATACCCCAAGATAGACTTTTTTCCCCGGGAATCTGTTCCGTTTCCCCTTGGGGGTAAAACACCACGCTGGTTTGAGTCTGGTCTGGGGTAGTCCGAAAACGGAATTCTGGGGTACACAATTTCATGGCCGGGTTCCCCTTCAGAAAACCAGGACTTCCCCGCAAATTCTCTAGTGCGGCTGCGGTGTCGAAACCTGCCAGGAAAACGGCCAAGGTGGGCACAAGTTTGCACCCACCAGAGGCCAAGGAAAGAAGAACTTGGGGCGCGGGCCACCTTCCACTTTCATGTTCTGGAAGGAGTTCTGCAACGCACGCAGGTCACTGGACGCCTGGGATGCAACTATTGGAGTCATGGAGTCTCCAACGACTTGCTCACTTGCTGAGAAGGCCGCATCTCCTTTCCCCGACATCGGCGCTAGTTTTGCCTCGGCAGACCAATTGGAATTGGTTTCTGGATGGGTTTCGCAATGGGCGGCTAGAAAACTGCCACCCCCCCGCCCCGGTTTTCAGGAAAAAATGCAAATGGCTGGCTTGTGCATTTGTCGGCAAATGGCTTCAACCAGCACCGCTGGCCCACGCGGATTTCGACTCTCAGGGCTCTGCGATTGAAGGCGCCGGAGTCGACAGATTTATTTCCCAGTGCCCGATCCCCGGAAAGACTTCCCCCGGGCTCTGAGCAGATCTGGCGGAGGCGGAGACGGGCGAAACGGAGCATCAAACCACTGAGATCCAGGGGTGATCCGGGCATACGGCCTTAATCTGGGTCCTCCAGTAGAGAGGTTGGAAAAACGGGTACCCTTTTTTTTGGTAGTCTTGGGGAACCCTCCCCCAAAAAAGGGTATAAGGGCACTACTGGGGGACCTAGTTATGGTCCTTTTGTGTGGCTGCACGCCTTGAAAAAAGAAACAACTTGGGGCAGTGGCCTGAGGGGAAATCATCTTGAACCCAAGCCATTGATCCTTCGGCTCTCGTGCCACAATGTCCAAGTATGCCACTTCGGTGGCATCTCTCTCTCTCCCTCCCCTCCCCTCCCTCCCTCCAAAAAATAGAAGAAGTAGGGGCCCTGAGGGGAAGCCTGTTGATGGTTGCCTGTTCTGGTTTTTATGTTCATCTCAAACCTATTAACCACCTTATCCGTTTTTAAAAGAGGGTTTTTGGGGAGCTTATTTATCGTTTTCGTTAAGGTAATCATTTGGGTAAATTGTCGCCTTGTTCATTGTTGGGCTGGGGGCAAACATTTTTTTCATTTGAAGGAGGTAGCCCTTTTAGTAGTTATCAAGTTCTGGGGTGTTGGCGGTGCATTTGTTTTGTTAGTATGTTTCTCATTAATTTTCATTTATAGGTTAAACGTTCAGTATAATTATAACATATAAGATTTTACATGTTATTATTATAGTATGATTATAATCCCAATACAGGATAATAATTTAATTGATTTGTCTTACTTCTTTCATACACCATTTTAAAAATAATATTAATATCTCTCACTGTATTTTGAACATTAAACTTTTTACTTTCAATAAATAATTTGATATTTTCTTTAACATCTTCTCCTTTCTCTTGACTATAACCCAACATCCATAATATATCATCAATCATGTCATATTTTCTTACTGATTTTGAGAAATGCTCTAACATAACTATGAGGTGGTATTTCATACACAGTTAAAAATATCAAAATGTCATCTTCAACATTTCTTTCATCTATTTTTTTAATCTCCAAAAATTTTCTATCATATTTTGATATCGTCTCCATCTTCTACAAGTTCTACATACATCTTCTTCACTCAGAGCATAATCAGTAATATTATTTACTATTCCATTAGGTAAATTCAATTTGTATAATTCCATATTTTCTTTTTTGAAGTGGCAACAATCATAGCATTTCTTATTAATATAACTGTTGATTTCATCATAGTTCATTTTTCTCTTAATATGTTATGCTATTTTTTCTTTAAGTAGTTTTGACTAGGGGGTTGCTGGTCAGCTGGTCTGGGTTTCAGGTTTAATTTAAATGTCTGTGTGAGCCAGACCTTGCTGTGCGAGCCAGACCTTACTGTGTGAGCCAAACCTTGCTGTGTGAGCCAGACCTTGCTGTGTGAGCCAGACCTTGCTGTGTGAGCCAGACCTTGCTGTGTGAGCCAGACCTTGCTGTGTGAGCCAGACCCCCCTTAATTGGGGAGTTCGCCCCCCTTAATTGGGGAGTTCGCCCCCCTTAATTGGGGAGTTCGCCCCCCTTAATTGGGGAGTTCGCCCCCCTTAATTGGGGAGTTCGCCCCCCTTAATTGGGGAGTTCGCCCCCCTTAATTGGGGAGTTCGCCCCCCTTAATTGGGGAGTTTACCCACCGTTTTCAAATCCAATGATATAACATTATAACCGAGCGACTTTGCTACTTTACCAACTGAAGAAGTACCACTAAATAGTTCTAATAAGTGCATATATTATTAGAACTATTTAGATATTAATATTTTCACATACATATCGTTGATGTTTTTCAGTTCTCTCGTGTCTTCTTATATCACATTTCCTGAAAACACCACCACATTCACATTCAATAGGTTCTTTTCGTTTTTCCAATATTGTTTCTTTGTTTTGGTGGTAGTGCTCCCTACTTTTATTACATATATGTTCTTTGTTGTTTTCTGCGTATTCCTTCCTCATATTTTGATAGTGTTCCTTATTGTCTTCCTTCCACTCATTAATTGTTCTACCTACCACACATCTATTCACACAATCATTATTTTGAATGTAATAACCTTCTCTTTTCATTAACTGTTCTCTGTTTTCACATGGGTAGTCTTCTAATAATTCAATCTTACAGTTGTCCATTCCATATTCATCAAACAACAAACGACAGTTTGTTTTATTATTCCATTGTTCTGCCTTGTTATAATTTTGTCTATGTCTTGCCATTCTTTGGCTCAAGCTTTCACAGGTGCTTCCGATGTAGCACTTATTATAACCAACATCTGTTATTTTGTAAATCTTTGCGTTTTTATATTTACTGCTATCCATTAATAACCTTAGTTATCTTTTCTTTAACGCAGTTTATAATGTCCATAAGGCAGTGAATTGAAAGCATCAATGTAAAACCTTTTATTTTCATAATTACTGAGTGATTGCTTGACTTGAGACATTGAAAATAATTGATGGTTGCGACTACGAATAAAATTATATGTTATTTCATGCTTTTTGTTTTGAAATAATGCTTCGTGGTAGTTTTGGTAAGTCAGTTCTTTCTTCACCTTGTGTTTCACTACACCTTTTGATTTCTTTTGTTCTTCTTCTTCACCGTGTATTGTAAAAGCATACGATTTAGGCTTTAACCCTATGAATTGTGTTATTGTTTGACCGTTGCACTCATCCTTGAAATAACCGAGTTTTTTCTTATTTGTTTTGTCATGGCAGGGGTGTTCAGGTGGATAATCGCTAAAGTCCATATATTGGTTTAATTCTTTGAAGTCCTTGTAGACATCATCAGTCATTGTTTGAATTACATAACTGTCAGTATCAGTATATATCAATTTGATGTTTTCATTATACTTCTTTTTCAATACATCATAGTAAAACTTATACATATGTAGTTTGCTTAAATCTAAAATGCTCATTCCTAAGAAAATGGGTTTATCCAATTTCAGTTTTGCTTTAGTTTTCTCAACTCCTACGAGGTTTTCATTAATAATAAATCTATTTTTGAAAGTTGGATTATTAACGCATTTTTCATATCTTACCTCATTATCAACTAATTCAAAGTCCATATGATTTCGTTTGTCTTCCATAGTTTTTCCATACACAGAATTATTCATTAATTTGAATAAATCTTTCTCAAAATCGCTTTTGGCTTCTTTCCTTTTGCCAGTGTTAAAATCAATCCACGGTTTCAACCATGCCCTCTGTTGAAATTTTATTATCCTATGGACTTTTGTCATTTTCATTCCCATTTTCAAATAATACTGTAAAGTCTTGATATGAACCACATATTTTTCTTTATCCTTTAGATTTAATATTAACTTACTTGTTTTCTCATCCTTGGGATTTTTGCCATCATAATATATTTTGTAGACTTGCTTTTGATAATCAGAAAGCATACTAACATTTACATTCATTATTTCAGGCGCTAGTGGATAGTCAGAGTGGAAGTCGTGCAATGTTTCGGGATATTCCAAATCAACTTCCATAATATAACCGAACTCATCGTTTTCATTCCATTTTTCAACACTGGGCGTTTTCTTTGCCCACTTGATATTTTTTAGCGGTAATTTCTGGGACATTGCTAAACCATACAAGTTATTAGCATCCAAGTAGCTAATATAATTTGATGGCTTGTTCTCATCATATGCTTCCTCCATATACTTATTATTTGCCACCGCTAATTTATGACTTACCTGACACATACCACCTCTCATTCCCTTTTCAACCATCTCAAACATTTCTTGGTCATGCAATTGTTCTATTTCAACACCAGTTTTTAGAAGCATCGCGTCCCATGCGAAATTTGGCAACGTATAATAATGAGCGGGGTCTAAACCGTAGTATTCCATACACAAGTCCCTAAAGTTTTCAAATACATCGGTCAGTAGTAAAACATCAGTTCTTAAATACAAGTCGTGATACTGCCCGAGTGTTCTAATCCCGAAGTGCTTCCATACTTTCAGTGCCCTTTCATAATCTTTATCACTTACATGTTCCTCACTTAATTTACTGTAAAACGCTTCTTTCGGTGGTAAAGCCCTTTCCTTAAATCTTTCAAAATCATCAAAGTAGTCATAGGGATAAATACCCTTATCAGTCAATAAATCCAAATCTTCATCGGTTTTAACATACGGGTTTCTAACGCTGTATCTGAAATTGTTCTTCCAATTCTCACGCTTTTTATCATCCTCATATTTACTCAACTTCACCAACTTATCCAACGAAGACGATAAGAAACTGAAACTGTCCTTGAAACAAAGATTTTTAAAACCAAAGGTTATAAACTTTTCGCTGTTCTGAGCGATACATTCTATTTTAGAATTCTTGTTCAGTTCGTGAGCCTTGTTGATGATTAAGTGGGCATCGTAGTTTTTAAGATTATGAAGAAACACAGGGATTTTATAATATCTCATACTAAATCGTAGATTGCAGTCCTCGTGGGCGCATCCTCTATACTGCCCCGTAAAGTGGCAATGGTCCCAACACTTCTTTTCTCCTTCCTCAAATTTGTTTCCACAAATGAAGCAGTTAGTGGCATTATTGAAGTCCTCCCAGTCCTTCTCGGTTTCAATACGGTCTTTGTCCTCCTTCATTTTCTCCAAAACTTCCTCTCTGACTTTATTGATTTTCTCAACAAATTTATCCATACAATCCTGACCTCTATATAAGTAAGGCTCACTACTTCCGGTTATAGCATTGACTACATTAATCATAAAACCACACGGACGATGATTTTGATATGATGTAGTTTTAGCTTTTGCCGATTTGCTTTTAACATCAATTGGCACAGTTAAACATTCAAAGTCGGCATAGATTACGAATGGAGCTTTAAGTTTCTTGAAATGGTTTTTGAATACTATTGTTTCACCTGCTTCTGGCATTTCTATTTTTTGACCCTCAACTGCTAGACATCCTTGTTCTTCGTGTTTCTTTAAAAGTTCTTCGGTCTTGAAACCATGTGAGCAGGTTCTACAGTGATACTTCTTCGCCT